ACATCCTCAGAGAGTCGGTTTTGGAGACGTTTCAGACGAGGATCGTTTGCCAGCTCCTCAGGCACCTCAGGTTCTGCCTCTGCATCCTTTGGCTTCTTCACAAACTGGAAGTCCTCCTCCTCTTCATCAGAGGACTCCATTGGCGCATAATCGGGTCGCTTACCAGAGACATAGCGCTTGACTTTCACTTTTTCCATCGACACCTCACCTGGCACAGAAGGTAGGTGCATTCAGCAAAGGCCATTACTACAGTAACCACAGGGTCATCAGCAATAAGTGATCCAAAGAAGCCCAGTTGCCAGCGCTCCTATCACAGTTCAGCCAAGAGGAGACAGAGATTAATAGCACCATGCACAAGATGTCACAGAGAAGAGTTTAACAGAGAACGTGGTTGGCGTGGAGTGGCTGGACCGAAGGCTCTGTTTCCATGCTGTATGACTGTCAAGAGAAGGAGAGCACCTTAGAGGTAGCGCTGGACCAAAAGTGAAGCAGTGCAAGCATTTTGGCCAAGAGGAGTAAAACAGATGAGGTACTCAAGGAAGAAAAAGTGCTAGAGGGATATTAAGGCACAATTTGGTAATTAGGTGAACCAGGGGCTGCAGCAAGTGGCAGATGCAATTCCATAATTAAACTGTGAAATTCCACAAAGAAATTGGAGGACAGCATTTGTTCAACTATCGTTGAGAACAGTGCAGCGATAGGGATCGCACTGTATAGATCAGAGATGGCTGGGAGTGTTTGGATTGTTTTCTGTAAACGGTCAGTTACATGTTCATCAATGTAGCCCTGGGAGAAGGAAAGCAGCACGTTTATCCAGGTTCAGCAGTTCATTTTAGGGTCAGGACATACAAGCAGGAGGGACAGGAGACGAGAGAAAGAAGGGGCTGGATACTGAGGCGAGAGGGAACATCAATTTGAATAACACTCCAAAAGTGTTTCAGCAGAATGTAGCTTTCACTGGATTATTGTATCCCTGTGTATTCCAGTCCCCCAGGACCGAAAGCCCAAGGAGAGGGCTGTTGCTGCACCGAAAGCCCGTAGGAGTGGGTGCCCCTGTACCAAGAGCCCAGGGGAGGGGGAGGGGATTGGGGGTGTGTAGCTCCCTGTACCGACAGCTGGGGGGGGAAGGAAGGTGAGGGTGCTACTTATTCGGGGGGGGGGGGGGATACTGTATCGGTGAGCCGGGGGTCTCCAGCCGAGCCCAGGCCTAAGTCTGCGGACTCGGCTCCACTCACCTTTCTCATTGAGGACGGGCACGGCTCCGGCCGTGGACTGAATCGGCGGCTGCTTGGCGTTCAGGCTGAGCGGGGCGGCCATGGTTCGCGCTGCAGCTTCCAGAGACCGAACTCAGACAAAACAAACGGCACAAGAACCACAAGATGGCGGACGAGGAGTCGCGGAGTGATGACCTCATCAAGGACTCGCCCCCTTTATGCCATTGGCGTTTGACGTCACTGCACAGGACACATCCGTGGGCGGGGATTGTATGTGGGTGGGGTCTGAGTGTGGGCGGGGCTTGTAGGTGGGTGTGGTTTGGGTATGGGCGGGGCTTGTATAGGTCGTTGGTTAGGCCACTTTTGGAATACAATGTCCAATTCTGGTCTCCCTGTTTTAGGGAAGATATTATTAATCTTGAAAGGGTGCAGAAAAGATTTACAAGGATGTTGCCAGGTTTGTGGGTTCAGTTCTAAGGATGAGTTGAATAGGCTGGGGCTATTTTCCCTGGAGCATCGGAGGCTGAGGGGTAACTTTATAGAGGTTTATAAAATCATGAGGGTATGGATAGGGTGAATAGCAACGCTCTTTTTTCTAGGGTGGGAGAGTCCAAAACTACAGCGTATAGGTTTAAAATGAGAGAGGAAAGGGTTAAAAAGGACCTGAGGGGTACGTTTTTCACGCAGAGGGTGGTGCATGTATGGAATAAGCTGCCAGGGGAAGTAGTGGAGCTGGGTACAATTACAACATCGAAAAGGCAACTGGCTGAGTACATGAATAGGAAGGTTTGAAAGGGATATAGGCCAAATGCTGGCTAATGGGACTAGGTTTATTTCGGATACCTGGTGGCCAGAGACGTTTTGGACCAAAGGTTCTGTTTTCGTGCTGTACAACACAATGACCTTATGGCTGTATCTACCGCACTGTCCAATAGTCATTTGAGGATGTAAATGAGAAGGTTTTCTGCTGGTAAGTTTTATTTAAGGCAAAATTACATTACTATTTAAGTGATTTATGCCAAAAATAAAGTATAACAGTGATGTGTATACCCCCACATTACATTTACATTGATTATGTTAACCTCTTGATTATCCATAATATTTGACCAGTCGGCACACACCTGGTCCCGTTTGGTGTCAGATGATAAAAAGTTTACTGCATATAGAAAATGAACTGTGGCAGCCACAAGGAAACCAGTCTGCTCATTATGCTTACACTGGCTGAAAAATGAACCACTTTGCCAAACCTATTTTCTACTTTATCCACATCTTCAGATGATGCAGAAGCTCAGAAGCCTATCCAGATACCTTTTAAATAAGTCAAGCTGAACCTTCCACCAAAGAAAAAGGCTATTCAGCCCATTCTGTCTGTGCTAATAAATGCTCACTTGTTCCCCTGTAAACTTTTCCTCTTCAACTAATTGTCCTTTAAACCTTTCGGTGGAATCCAACTCTACCAGGTCTTCTAGATATAAAAATCCGCCCAATGTAAAATATTTCTGCTCATTTCCATTTTAGCTCATTTGCATCTGAGTACAAAGTTTACCTGTTTGAGTTCCATACCAAAGACTGGCTGACCTTCCCAGTACTCAGGAAGTAAGAAAAAAAAGGCATATGTCAGGTATAGAAAGCTAGGATGAAGTGAATCCCTTGAGGGGATTAAGGGGACCCATCAGTTCATCTTTGCACCCTCCTTACCTCATTGATTCCCTCCACAATTAGTTTCCCCACACCTTTCCTTGACCTGGGCTGCAAGAATGGCCATTTATACAGCTGCAGTGGCTGCTCTGCATCCAAAATAACCACCCGACTGTTGCTATTGCCTTCCCTTCAGCCACAATAATCACTTACCCCTCATCCACAACAACTATCATGTGGCCATTCCTGCCTACCCTGAGACTGCATGTGGCCTTCTTCATGGTCACAGTGGCCTTGCATACAGCCACAATAACGACCTCCTCCACAAAGGCCCCACTGTAGCAACTACTGCTATTTCTGCAGCTACATTGTACACACAGTCATTGCTATTGCTTTCCCCACAGCAGCAGTGGTGTCTCCCATGGAAACTACTATTTTCAAGACAGTCACAGCCTAATGGCTGCTCCACAACTGGAATGTAGGGAGGCATCATTAAATCCAAACCAGCAAGGTGCCTGTGATTCTGAGCCCTGCTGTGACTGCACATTCACCTTCAACTTTTCTGGGTTCACTGGTTGCCAGTAGCATGCCCCACCAGATACAAAATCTAAGGGCAGAAGTTAGCAGCCGTGATGACTCTTCACGTCATTTACCCTCGAGGTCTCACTGACGAAATACTGCATTCCCCCAGACACCTGGGAATCACTGGAGGAGGGGCATCTAGGAAGGTGTCCAGTACCCCGAGACTTGCCATTGGGAAAAAGTGGAAGCCAGGTGAAAACAGCAAAAGGAGAGCGCTGCCACACCAACCCTTTGCGTGACCATTAACTGCCCCAAGTGTAATAGAGCCTATGGTAGCTGCAGTGGTCTGTACAGCCACCTACATACACCCTGAGAGTGGAAGAGAGTCATCCTTCTCTGCGAGGGACCGCAAATGACGATGATGATAATGATGAACCAAAGGCTGTTGAACGGTGAGCTGTCAATCTTCCTGCTGGCTGAAGCAAATCAGGAGAGCAAAAAGAAGATATGGGATAGCTTTGGCAGATAAGGAATCCAAAGAGATGCTACAAATTCATTAAGGGCACAAGAGCAACTAGGAAGAGAATAGGAACCTTTAAGATCAACAAGGCCATATTTATGTGGATCCACAGGAGATGGGAGAGATACAAAGTGAATATTTCACAACTGTAGTTACTGTAGAAAAATAGATAGAATTGGCAAAACTTAGGGAAGTAAATAATGATGTCTTGAAAATAGTTCACATTACAGAAAAGGAGGTGCTGAAGGTCTAAAAATGCAAAAAGGTAGATAAATTTGTGAGACATTGTCCTTAGGATAGGGAATTTCAAGACTAGGGAGCATATTTTTAATGTGAGGGAGGAGAGATTTAAAAAAGACATGAGGGGTAATTTTTTTTACACAGAGAGTGGTTTGCACGTGGAATGAACTTCCTGAGGAAGTGGCAAATGCGGGGACAGTTACAACATTTAAAAGTAACGTAGGTAAGTACATGAATAGGAAAGGTTTAGAGGCATATTGACTATGAGCAGGTGGGTGGGACTAGTTTAGTTTGGGTTTACATTCAGCATGGACTGAAGGGACTGAAGGGTCTGTTTCTGTGTTGTATGACTCTATGACCTGATCAAGTGTACCTAGAACATTGTGGGAAGCGAGGGAAGAAATTGCGGGGTCCCTAGCAGAGATACTTATATCATCTATAGCTATAGGTGAGGTGCCGGAGGACTGGAGGGTGTCTAAGGTATTTAAGAAAGGCTGCAAAGAAAAGCCAGAGAACTATAGACCAGTGAGCCTGAAGTCACTGGTGGTTAAGTTGTTGGAGGGGATTCTGAGAAAGAGAATTTACCTGAATTTGGACAGGCAAAGACTCCTTAGGAATAATCAGCATGGATTTGTGCATGGAAAATCATCTCACAAACTTGATTGGGTTTTTTGAGGACATGACCAAGAAGATAGTTGTGGCCAGAGAGTAAACATTGTTTACATGGGCCTTAGTAAAGCCTTTGACAAGGTTCCGCATGGTAGACTGCTTAGTAAAGTTCAATCACATGGGATCCAGAGAGAGCTTGCCAATTGGATACAAAATTGGTGGTGGTGGAGTGTTGTTTTTTGGACTGGAGACCTGTGACCAGCGGGTCTTTTGCAGGGTTTGATGCTGGGTCCATTGTTGTTTGTCATTTGCATAAATGATTTGGATGAGAATATAGGAAGCATGGTTAGTAGGTTTGCAGATGACACCAAAATTGGTGGTTTAGTAGTCAGTGAAGATGGTTATTTAAGAGTACAATGGGATCTTGATCAGCTGGGCCAATGGGCTAAGGAGTGGCAGATGGAGTTTAATTTGGATAAATGCGAAGTGTTGCATTTTGGTAAGGCAAAGTAAGAACTTACAGAGTTAGTGATGGTATAGGTAGACAGGTGGCATCATAGGTAGACAGGTGGTGAAGAAGGCGTTTGGCACACATGCTTTCGCTGGTCAGAGTACTGAGTATAGGAGTTGGAAAGTCATGTTGTGGCTGTACAGGATGTTGGTGAAGCCATTTTTGGAATACTGCGTACAGTTCTGGTTGCCCAGCTATAGGAAGGATATTATTAAATTGGAGAGGGTACTGAGAAGATTTATAAGGATGTGACCATGTCTGGAGGGTTTGGGTTATAGGGAGGGACTGGATATGCTGGAATCTTTTTCCCTGGAGAGTCGCAGGTTGAGGGGTGACCTTATAGAGGTTTATGAAATCATGAGGGGCATAGATAAGTGAATAGCAAAGGTCTTTTTCCTAGGGTAGGGAAGTTCAAAACTGGAGTGCATAAGTTTAAGGTGCGAAGGGAAAGATTTAAAGGGGACTCAAGGGGCGACTTTTTCACACAGAGGGTGGTGTGTAAATGGAACGAGCTACCAGAGGAAGTGATAGATGCAGGTGCAGTTACAACATTTAAAAGACATTTGGATAGGTACATGAATAGGAAAGGTTTAGGGGGATATGGATCAAACACAGGTGAATGTGACTAGTTTAGTTTGGGAAACCTGGTTGGCATGAACGAAGGGTCTGTTTCTGTGCTGTATGACTCTACGCTGCCGGAGGTACCAACATTCAGAAGAATTTTTAAATTGTGGCCCACTCTGCCTCTGAAAGAAGCCAGAGCATCTTGGCAATTCATAGAGCAGCAGGAGTTCTCTTCCTGGTGTCCTTGCCAATATTGATCCCAATAGAAGAAAGGTTGTTTGATCATGACCATTGCAATTTGCAGGAATTGGTTGCTGTGGTTTAGATATTTGAACAATGACTACACTTCAAAGCATTTTGGATGGGCTGAAGTCTTGACTAAACCGAAGAGACTAAGACTTGGGTTTTATGGCTATAATGATAGCCTGGCACTGTGATTTTTTTCATCAATCTAATCTGCAAAACAAGAAAGCAACTGATTAGGAAGCTCCAGGGGAGACTGTAGGTAATAAAAAAATTACTCTCAGTAGATGGTGCTAGTAGATTACTGTGTCAAATTCTCACAAATTTCTCATGTCAAATTACACACTCTTTGTT